AAACTAATATGCTGCTTTCTAGCAGTTGACATTAGATGTTATTTTGTTTGTTTAAAATAATGAGGGGGAAAAAGTAACAGGACAGAAATTACCTGTTATATATAAGTGAAAAAAAAAGTAATAAAATAGACACTGCATTTTATTTTATCTGTTGAAAATAATTGAGAAAAAGTGAGAGAACAAATATTACGTGTTATTTTGTTGGTTGAAAATAAGTAACGAAAAATGAGGAGACAAGGTATATTTTATGTGTTGAAAGTAAATAAAAAAAGTAGGATATTGGACAATGCATGTTATTTCATTTGTTGAAAGTAACTAAGACAAAAATAGGAAACTAATAAGATATGTTATGGAAGAACCAAAATATGCATTCACAAATGTACAGAAATAAGAAAGCTATAAGTTGTTAAATAGATACGAACTGTCATTGTGGCAACACATGGTGCAAGGTGTCTAATGCTAGCTTGTTTCAGTTATTATAGCTCTTTTGTTATATGATGTTGAGTCTGGGTTGAACAAGTTAAAATTGGGATATCTGTTGCTGGCCAAACTATTTTGGGCTAGCTAATACTGATAGCTGGCCAATGCTATCAGGAGACAGAGGTAGTGCCATCCACTGGACAAAGAAAGCGAGGTGATGTTTAAAATCCAGTCATGCTTTCTTTGTTCAGTCCTACGTACTTGGCTTTTATCATGACTAGTTTGGGAGAGATTCATCTTGAGATGGAAAGCTGGTGAGCTATTAACTGATCTAGTAGAGGTGATCATTCACTTGTCTCTGCAGGTACACACAGTTTTTATGTTGTGTCTAGATATAATTTTTACTGTCATTTAAATATGTCCAATCTGTTTCTTTCTCACACAACTTAAAATTCAATCAAGTTATCATCTACAGAACACTTTTTATTTCTTGATCGAAAGTGCTGTTATTTGCAGGCTTGCCTGTCGGATACTTGTCGGGAAATCGGTTTTCCCAGAAAATACCACAGAAACAGATAATCATTCTCTGTAGAAGTTGCTTTTCAACTGTAAGCTGCTCTATTTTATGTAGAACATATTCATAAAACATATAATGATTTTTAGGGATTTGTACTTGAAAATGAATAAACAAGAATGATTATTAGCTTATGTTTTTAATTCTAGTAATTAGAAATTTGTGAATAAGTAGTTTTTTACAGTGAAGTAGATGTTTGCTGAAATAAAATTAATGCCATTTTCTTTATTCTTTAATGGGTGTTGTTTATACTTCACTACAGGTAAACCTTGCACTGCCTGTGTCATTTTTGGTCATTTGTGCATTCCTGGTGTTTCTGCCATTCTATGTTAATCCTTGGGAGACAGGTATTGGAGCCATCATTATGCTATCAGGTATCCCTGTCTACTTTCTGACCATTTACTGGAAGAACAAGCCCAAGTGGTACAAACGTCTCATTGGTAGGTGATGTGTTAAATTGTTTTGTAAATTTTTATATCTTTAAAAAAGCATTATTTATATTTTGCAGCTTTATTTATAAAGTTTTTATAGTGACTTGTTCATGAATTTTGCTGGTAGCATTGTACTCTTAACTGTTACATTTTCATTAAGGGTGCGTGTCTCATCATAATAGTAGATACGATACATATCTAGATTCGGAAGTTTTATCAATGGTTTTAGTTACAAAGTTGACAGTCTTGTCTGTAATTTATTATCTATATTACTAACATTGTCTTGTTTAAGTACTTCACACTTTACAGTGCTTTTTCAATTTCTCAGGTTTGATCAAATAAATGGCAGCTGGTAAGAGAAGTAAAATAAAAAAGTTAATATCTGTCTATCTATTTTGTATTGTTAATTTATTATGTTACTTTTCATGTAATGTTTTTGATAAAAGAAATGAATACAACATGTAGTACTCAATACTCATCTTCTTTTATAGAATCATTAATTTTTAGCAAAAATACATGAGAAATTTTGATTTTTCTTTACAAAAGAATTAATGTTTACTGAAAGTTTGCCAAATTTTGAAAAGATACATAAATCGTATCGGACAATATATCAATACAATCACATCACAGCTTCATAATACGGTACTCGTATCATATTGCTGTATTGCCACACCTTTAATTTTCATGTGGTTATTCTATTTCACAATGTGTAATTACCTTCCAACAAAGATTACCATGTGTTAGTAAAAACGCATGCATGTTCTTTTTTTCCATGATTAATGTTATCATATTTTTTAAATTTAAGGATACCTGTTTCAGGTTGGAAGCTGATGAGTGTTTGCTGCTACAGTAATAAAAAGATTGTCCAATGGTTATATCCAAAAGCTTTATGACATTACATGATTATTATTAGGTAATAATTTTTACATATGTTTCATTGGCTAAGGCATGACTCTGACAATATGCATACCATCACTACAGGCCTTTCATAAATTGTGAAGAATGCCATATTTCATTGTTTATAATCAAGACTTTTGAAAGCATTCTTCTGAATGAAAAGTTTTGATACATCTGGGTTCTGATGAATTTTTTACATGCACAGTAGTTAAGTAAAGTTAAAACACTAAATAAGACTAGTTTCTTTATTGTCAGTTGCTAGCAGAAACTGGTGTAATCCTTATACCTGCTTCAAATAGAAGTTTTAATCTGACTGGTTATTGGATACTACCATGAACGAGCTGTGAATGGTCTTATCTTGTAAATAACGAAGTATTAAACTTTTCAGTCAGTGGTGGATCGTCCCCCTTTCATATTTCAACAGCAACATGACAGTTATCTTCAGAGTTACATCCCTGTAAAAGTTACTTTAATTGTTTTGTAAAGTCAAACATAATGTAGTTAACATGTGATCAAAGGTGGAGGATGTATATTGACCACTAGATGGAACCACTGTATAAGATATTTATAACCTTCTAAAAATACAGCTGGTATTAGTTAATAGTTAATAATAAAAAAAAAACTTATTTAATAAATATTTGTATATTTTTTCATGTGAAATAAGAATGGAAACATTGTAACTTACCTGTATTCTAAAATAAATATTTATTTGTATACATGTCATTAATTACTATTATGTAACATTAAAACATTTCTTTTTCCTACATCCAGGAGGAACAACAACTTTCACTCAAAAACTACTGGTGAGTGTAATTGAAAAAGGCAAGTTTGAATGAATTTACAAGATTTCTTCTCCATGTGGACAAACAAAAGAAAATTATTGTAATTTAAATTAGCTACTAGAACTATTTACACTTTGTTTTTTAAATCCCAACCTAAAAAAATATGAATTGTTTTAATTTAATTTGTTTATTATCTAATAAGATAATGATAGATGACAAATAGTTAAACTATGAAGAGGATACAACAGCTGGAACAAGTACTGACTCTTAAGACCTGAATGTATATCAACTGATAGGATGTTTTTTTTCAAATATAACAATAGAAGATTATTCAAAAGTATAATTATATTGCAGGAATATTTCTAGGTAACATTATTCATAGAGCATCACAAAATTATCTAAACTTTATTTTAAATAAATCCTAAAAGTTTTTATCTATTTATTCTACAATCAATATTTTTGTATTGAAGACTGATGAGAAGATTTTCAGAAGTCTTCCGATATTTGAAGATAATAATACTAGAGTTTCTGACATATTGAGTGTTTCAAAAGTCACTTTCACTGTTCAGATGACTGCATTCAAGAAACCAGTGGATATAGTGTTATGGAACTTGTTTGTGTTGACTAATTGGACTATGTGTGTTATGATAGCCACACTACATGGCACCTATGGGTATAAAAGCGATCATCCAAAATCACAATCAAGCAGTTTTGAACAGGTTAGTGCAATGTGTGTACATTGTCTTCACCATAGAAAACAGTGTGTACAATTGAATGGCATGTTATGATGGCCACATTACATGGCACCTATGAATATAAAAGCAATAATCCAAAATCACATTCATGTGGTTTTGAACAAGTCAACATGGTCGAATTCACTGACACACGAAATTTCACAACGTTGTGTTAATTAGTTTCCTGAAGGCAGTTGTCTGAATAGAATGATTGACTTTCAAATACTTGGTAGTTTAAATAATTGTAAACAATATACTTCAGCCTTGCAATTGTAGTCACCTGATGAATGTATAATGCCAAAATCTTGAGGAAACTGAACTCAAAATGAAATGAGTTTTATTTTCTGAGAGATAATTACTTAAATATGTCTTCAAAAATTATAAAAGACAATTGTGCAGCCAGGGATTTACTGTTGTAGCTATTTTGAATTGTCTTACTAAAACATTACTTACATAAATCTAAGTTTAGCTGTGGGGTATAATAAACAAAAATTTGACTTAAAAACAATTAAATACTTGTTATATTTGGTTTCAGGAGACACAGCACTGTCTTCATGCAAGTAGATGAATAATCTTACTTAGGAATGATAAAAGTTGGTTGCAATAGTATTAATACAAGCTGACCTTTATTCATTCTGGAATTGTTGTGGATTAACACAAGATTCTATTCACAAACGAAAGTTTTTTAAAAAAAGACTATCTTTGTGGTGTCTTTAAGGGCAGTACTGAGCTATTTACCTTCGTCCAACTATGCAATTATAACATGATATTATTCATTTTCCACTTGGAAAACTTTTCTTATGTTAAGAACATACGTTTGATATCATATAACTTGGAAACTGTTAAAGTTTAGTTTTATCACCAGTATTTTTAAAACTAAGTATAAACAAACACAGTATTTATTTAGTCACATGAATATTACATGTAATTGTTGTCAAAGGTGTTTATATATTTAAGAACGTTTTGTGAAAGATGACAGTCTATCATTTTAATGGTAACTGTAAAATTGTTAAATGATTTTAACCTGTATGTACATTACAGTTCAAGGCATAAATCTCTGAGAAGTGAAACTTATTAGAAATAAGTATATGAACAGGTGTGTTTGGAAATTAGATAAAACATTACATTTGTGTTGTATCATGTATGATGGCATTTGCAGCATTTGACTTTTTTTTTGCTTTATTGATTGTAATAAAGACTCTGGACATAGCTAATAATTAAAAGTAAAAATTTTAAATTATGGATAAAAGTGAAACTAATTAAAGGTAATTTTTATTTAAGGGGTTAACTTAAAGACAAAATACCTGACTAGTGCACCTACTATAATGATGATCAAAAATGTTTTCTAGTGATATCATTAAGCTCACAGAAGAACTAAGCAACATGGTATGAATACATATACTTTACATGTATAAAAGATAAAATACATAACATAGTATACACCTGGCATTAGTAAAATAACACTTTAGCATCTGTTTAATCCAGAATTTGCATGTGATCTTTCTAAGGAATAACTAAATGCTAGTCCAAAAGTTTCAATGTTTTTTAATCTAGATAATAATGAACCAATCAAAATTCACATGCATTTTGTAGAAGACTGGGAACAAAACAATCAATGTCAACTAAAACCAAGTCATTATGTAATTATGGATAATACTTTTTTGAAGACATATTTATTAATACTGCTCAAAGTTAGTGGAATGCATGAATTCTTTTATGTTCTGGGACAAACTCTTGCTGGTAGTTTCTAAAGCAAAATTTATATTACATTTGAAAGAAATCTCACATAAGGTTTGAGAATAGAATTTACTGATGATGTCAAAGTATGTTTTGGAGTGAAATAAGTATCCATAAAAAAAAAAAAGCTCAAGTCACTTATTCTTGGGACCAACTGGTACTCTGTAGTATGCAGGTAGGTTAGTTTTACCATACATATTTGTAGGTTGTATGGATTTGTGATACTTACATCTTTGATGATAGTTTCAGAATTTACTAAAGATATTTAAAGTAAATAATAACTTATGACAAAATATTGATACTTATTTTTTCTTTGCAAGTAACAAAGTTTAATACTACACAGCTTTGGTATAGCTGTATTCTTTGTTTTTCTATTATTTCTTCTAAGTTTAAGTAGATGCACCATTAGTTACAAAAGAGCATTATCTTTTCTATTAGTTTAAAACTGAAAGGTGGACCACAAAAGTTGTTCTTTTGATTCGAAAGTTTCTATGAAAACAATGCAGTCTCCGATTGATTTGTAGATTGTTCACCTAAAGAAGCAGAAAGTGTTAATTCCTTATGAAACATTTAATTATAATCCAAGAATTAGATTGAACTTTACATAATATGTAAAGCATAACTTTAGCTTTCTAAAGCTGAAAGTCTTAATTCAAAGCTGTACAATTTCACCATCAAAACAAAGTAGTAATACCTTGCATAAATTAAAAGTTATGTAGATTAACATTTGAGATGCAAGCATGAGTATGAAACATTGAAAAAAATGTTACTCACTGGTGATTTTCTATTCTTAAATCCCTTGGTAACAAAATATATTCTTACCTCTTTTTCCTTTATTTATTTGTTAACTCTGGGTTTTTAAGATTTCTTTATGCATAGATAAGTATTTTATTTATTGCACTAATGACAAAAATGTATGCTGTCTTTTATTAGTTATGGTTATTGTTTATTTTGGACTGTTTTATTAAAGATATTAGTTATATTTTTATATTTTCAAAGTGCTGTGGGATGCCAAATTTTATTGTTTTGCTAAGTGTTTTAGTATTACTGGTGCAATTTCAGTTTTTAGAATTATGGATATTTAAGTTTTCAAAAAGAAACTGCTAATAAACATAGACACTTGACTAAAGTAATTTTTATCTAGTAAAAATAATATATATGATTTATAGTGTATCTTTTACCCTTAACGTTTATTTACAATTAAAAGACACTGGTGGTGGTACAGTTATGCTGTTTCAAGAACAACTTTTATGAAATTTCAAGTCATTTGTCAGACTTTGGATTAGTGGAAATCTTATCTTTTGTAGAAATCTTTTAAACTAGTTTTCACTTTTAAGGAATAAAAACTCTAGGTCTACAAATGAGTCACAAGGTTATAAGTAAAACTTCCTTGGATCAAAGCTGGAATTCAAATTCCATAATAATGCTAAGTACATCATGTAGGATCAATCATGTTTTCAATCTTATCATCAAGAAATTTATGATGGAATTTGTCCTGTTCTGTTGCACAAATTGATTCCGAGCCATTAGCTGTCAAGTTAGGCCTAACACTTCTATGCATTTCTATCTTTCTAAGGTAGAGAATTAATAAGCTTTTATTTTTAATAATATACTTCATAAACCAGTTTATATTATATGGAAGAAACTGGTTTGTCAAAGTTCAAGATTGAATTATTAATAGTGGCTAACATTTGTTATGCTGATAACAAATTCTCCACAACTGAATGAGCTTCGTTATGTCAGTTGTGTGAACTCTTGGATCTCAGTAAGACTCCACTTCTCTATACAATACAGAAAAATGAAGATTTAGTTCCTTATTTGTGTTTTTTAAATGTAATTTTCATTGGAATTCAGTATAAATCTTGGATTGGTAAAACTCTTGGATTTTTATATAACTTATCCACAAATGTATTAGTTCATATTAAAAAAGGAGAAATGTACATGTTTGAGTGTGTTCAGGTGTCATCACTTATTCAACACTTTAACACCATACTCCTATTTATGTTTCCTGTTAATGATTACACAACATTGAGTTAAAGAAGTAGTCTTTACAGTCTTGTGAGAAAAAGCAATCTTCAAGAAATCATTCTTGCTCACCTTCATAAGTTTGTAAATAAAATTTTAGTAGCAGAAGTAGTAGTACTAGTGTAAAATTTTCTATAAAGTCAGGTTTATTTGTTTGTATGTACAAGTGTATGAATATCAAAGTGAAAAGTCCATACTAGCAGTTCTTAACCATAACAGTTGGCTACAATTTAGTTAAGATGTGTGAAATTATAATATTATACTGTATTGGTATTTTCAATCTATGCAACACAATCATGGTCTAAATGACCAGGTCAGAGACCCCTATAGAATTCAGGTATTGTCATCCCCAATTTTGAACTACTGGCCAGAAAGAAGGCAGCCAGTCAACAATATGTGCCACCAAAAGGGCTTTGTGTGTAAATTTAAACCAAATTATAGGAATGACTGTCACACTTATACCACATCCACAGCTGAAAATGCAGAACATTTTTAATGGTGCAAACTTTAGACTTTCTAATCCTCAGTTCAGCATGTTAGTCGTGCAGTAGGCCATGCCCAGCTAACTATTATACTTTTCAATAACATTGAGAACTTTAATTATTTTGTACAAAAGGAAAGTATTCCAACTAAAAAGATTGATTTTGATGCTTTTCAAATGTAATTGTGATGGAAAATTTCTGTTTGAAAAAATAAAGAAAAAACAGATTGTTTTCAACACTAGTTACTGATGTTCCATACCAAAGATGTATTAAAGCACTGTAGTCCTGCTGCTTATCATTACTTCATTGTGTTAGCATCAGAGTGCTAATGCTGTTTTCCATAATTCAACTAGCATGCGTCTGAAGATGGGAATATGACTAATATTTACATCCAAGTACAATAAGGTGTCGGATGGAGGTAAGATGGGAACCAATGAGGTAACATCCTGAAATGTTATTACAACAACAAATATTTATGGCATTGGATTTAAGGATCCCAGCCATGGCACTTGGATTTATAAATCCCTCTTAAGGCCCATTTCTTTGAGTAATCTTGTCTTCATTCCCATTCTGGACATGACCTCTTGTCCTCCACCAGTCTCTCACTATCATGCACATCAATCACAACCTCATAAAATAAACAACCCCACTATTGGGTCTAAATCAAATTCCTTGGTGTGGAGCAAAGGAGGATTCAATAATTTTCAAACACCCTAGATGACAATCGGTTTGAATCACATAACTGTGATCCAAGTGGCTTTTCATCTAAATATCTACTAGGTTAGTAACAACAAATATCCAGGAACATAGAAGAGAAACAAGTATCCTACAGATTAAAAGACACTTTCCTGAAGAAAAGGCATTATTTTACACCCAAACTTCAGACAAAAATATATAACTGCTACAAGAAAGGAATGTCAAAAAATATCTTTTCAATTCTGTGAAGAAATAATGAGAAGTGAAATAAGGTTAAATTTCAGCATCTTTGAGTTTACTGAATTTCATATTTTATGAATTTAAAAGTAAAACCCATGGAAAGTAAGAAAATTACCCTACTCTAACAATCTTGATTGACCATATCATTATATTAAGAAGCACCTAGCTTATTGCAGAAGTGTAGAACCTGCTTCATTATAAAAAATACTTTGAAATAAGTAGATAAAAGCCATGATTTGAACGTGAATATATATTTCTAAAGAAATATACAAGTGTACTTTATACGAAACATGATGAAAAGTCCATGTAATAAGTCTGCCTGGTACTGAAGCAAGATGAAGGCCTTCCAGTAATAAGTAACTGGTATGAAAGCTGAATGAAAATCTTCCAAGTTATAACTACCTGGTATGGAGGCAGGATGAAAGCTTTCTATCTAATAAGTTTGCCTGGTACCAGGGCTGGATTTAGACCCTTTGAGGCCTCCTTCTTTGGGACTCAAGGCCCCTCATGCAAATGCATAGATTGTGCCCCTCTAAATCTGGCTCTGCCTGATACATGATAGTAACAAGTCTGACTATCATGAAAAATAATGTAGGCCTAAGTAATAAGCTAAGCTATCTAGTATTCAAGCAGGATGAAGGCTTTCCATGTGATGGGAAGTCATAACAGTCATTTATGTATAAACATGACCTTAGATTGGAAGACAAAGGCATCAAGTAAAAAAATCTCGTTTTAAAAAGATTTATATTGGATTGTAGGATGCCCAATACAAATAAAAAAAGCAATATAAAAAGTAAATCGTTGTCTAAAACAGATGAAAGTAAATGGTTGATGAGATATGAAAGCAACACAAAACTGGAAAATAATAAGTAATGCCAAGAAGCAATGAAAGGTTGATGTAACCAGAGTTAAGTTGAAAATGTTTTTTCTTTTGCGAAAGATAATAAATGAACTGCTCCTATGAAGACGTACCAAGACCACACAGAACCAAGCAATTCTATTAAAAATATAACTTGTGTACGTTATGAAAATTCATAGGTAATAATATAAATTACCTGTGTAAATATGCTTTGAAGTGTAAGTAATGCATTGAAATTTTTTAAGTAAGTCTGTAATAACGTTTTTTGTACTAAATCTTTAAGAAACTAATGTACAATATTTTCTTTTTACATTTAAGGGTAAGTACTTTAATAAGAGGAGCTACACTGCTGAACTTTAATTTATGATCATGACATATTTTAAACAAGAACCTCATACTGCAGAACTAGCTTAACTTTTGGTTACTTGTACTAGGATAGGCCCAAACAATGTTGTTTTTGTTACTGAATAATTTTCAGATTTTGTAATAATATCGAGATTTTTTATATTATCACAATTTTTATAAGTTTTTAAATATAATAAAAGTGTATAATTAGAAAAAGTTATAGGCACAAATAATAATAATAAGGTCAAAAGTAAAAGTACTTGGTTCCGAATTAGAAATGGTGCAAGAGATACTTGTTGCGCTGAAGGGAAGATGGTGTTAAACTTCTCTATGTATGTATGTATGTATATATATATATATATATATATATATATTGTTACGTC